ATATATATATATATATATATATATATATATAATAATTTTAAAATTCCATTTTCTAATTTTCCTATTCCAAGGTAAAATAATGCATTTAGTTATTTGGGGGGTAGTAGAAAATAATGTTTAATTGGAGTTGCCAGTAGGAGTCCCTCAGATATTAAAATTTTTTCTGTTTTAAAAGCGATCTGAGTTTTAGCTCTTGAAAACAATTGTCACTTAAATGTCCAATAATGATTAAAATTCCTTTTAAATTAGAATTGCCAATGCCTTGACCTTTGATAAGGGTTCCTTAGAAATAAATCCTACATTTAAACTTTTTTCTTTAAAGCATGGTATTGGATGTTGACTTTTTACAGTTCTAAGCACTGTTAACAATATCAGGAAGGTGTTTTGAGAGAAATCAATGGAAAGTTAAACATTCTACATCTAACGTGAATACACTTCTTTTTGATTCAGAAAATAAAATCAGATTTTTGAAAGTAAATTTGAATCTTGTCTTGGTTTTACCTATTGTTTTTCTCTCTAGTTTCATTTTCTTATTTTTGTTCATATTTTCACTTTCGCTAATGCAACTTCATCTGCACACAACACAAAATGTTAGGCGAGCTTCAGCTCAGTGTTGTTCTATTATTTGACCAAAAAACCTCTTTTTTTCTGATATGATTTTAAATACATAAGTAAAACAAAAACTAGAAAACAGAGTAAATTACACAGCTGTATTAGAGGGTTCTTTCCCCTCAAGTGGATTGTTTTGTTTCCTGGAAGACTTAAGGTGGCTTTTGCAGGATTAGGAATGCTAGACAGATCTATATGTAAGGGGCCTGTGTATTAAACTGACTTTTCCTTGTTTTCATACTAGCCTTTGAGGATGGGGCTGGGGAGTAGATAGGATTCTTGTGTATCCTTCTTCATGAACTTGTATGCTTGAATCTCATTGCTCCCTTCATGGCCATGTTACCCCAGGATGTCGTGAGGTTTGCCTCTGGTGTCTTCTCCAACCTCTTCTTAGTTGCCAGTATAATGGGACAACTGTCTCCATGTGTTACAAGATGGAAGATACTGGGCACTGCTCCTTGTTGATGGGATGAAGGTTTCAGTGGTCTCCATTGGTTTTCTTCATCCATAAACTTTCACCACTGTACAGTTGAGTGTGGAACTGTGCTAATTTTAGAACCATCCAAGAGAGTACCGAACGAAAGTGAATCAGAAGCTCAAGGATTCATTTTGGCTCAATATTTAACACGTAATCTAATCTTGGACTAATTGACCAGTATCCATAGTGCCTGGGATATTTGTAGGGTCCCTTTTTTCCACCAGCTCAAATTCCTTGACCTATTAAAAGCTTGAATACTTTGTAAAGACCAAATTCCTGACTTTAACTACTCTCTTGCAAGTAACCTTAGCTATAGAACAGAAAAAGTTGTGTCAGGATTGTCAATAAGGCAGCTGTTGTATAAATTCACATTGATTTTTTGCATTAGACTTAATACTTTAAAACCCTCCTAAAGCATCTTGCCCTGTATTGTTGAACATCTGAAGTTAGGGAGAAGGAAGCTATTACACTATAGTTACTTTTGTTTAAATCATCTGCACTATGGCAGTGACAAAAACAAACAATGCTTTGTACCTGTTCTAAGTGTCTCATTTTGTGTTGTGTGCAGATGTAAGATACCTAACGGGGCAGGGGGAATTGAAATGATTACTCTCTTTGGCAGAACAGTTCCTGTTCTGCTTCCTCTCTACCAGTTCCTCCCCACCCAGAAGAGGAAAAAGACTGGAAAGGACTCTACAAATTTTTTTCCTTGAAAGAGAAGACTTAGCATCTTAACTATGCTTGCACGCACCAATTGAAAGGTTTGGGTTTGAGAAGTGCAGAAAGCAGTTACAGGAATAATAAACTATGGTTTTTAAGCCCAAGGTAGACTCCCTAGAACACTGCCTTTGGCCATTAGCATCAGGTTGAGCTTTTGCCTGATGAATGCTTTTTCTTAAAGGTCAGTAAAAAGGAGACTTTACCGAGCTGCTTTGCTCTTCCTTGAATATGGGTTTGGAAAAGAGGGCCCCAACTCTGAGGTATTAAGAGTTCCTAGGGACTAAAAAAGTAATTGTAAATATTTGAATGCAAAGATATTAATATCAAATAAAGGTTGACATTTTAAGCAATTAGTTCAGGAAACCAAAGTTAAGACCTGCCGCAATATTAAGTTGATCTTTTTGTTAAGCCTTGATGTTGTGTGCAGGGATTGGGATTTTTTCTCTAGGCATATCCTAAAATACGCACAAGAAAATTGCAAGGCCTGTCTTATCTTGGGTAACCAAATCTTAAGGATTTCCTGAGTGAGGATTACTTCTGTCAACTGCTCTTAAACATTTTCTTATCTCATACCAACTTGATATTTGAAAAGTAAAAATGTGGAATTTAAGTGAGGTTCAAATGTCAAAAATAAGTTGATAACATACATTTGACCCCTTGATTCGAAATCTTCAGTCTATCTCCACATATGCGTTTTCTTTCTTAGATCTAAAGCTTCTGGCATTAAATTTTAAGAACTGTTGAAAGAGGGGTGCCTGGGTGGCTCAGTGGGTTAAAGTCTCTGCCTTCCCCTCAGGTCATGATCCCGGGATCCTGAGATTGAGCCCTGCATCCCCCCATCACATCGGGCTCTCTTTCCCTTCCTCTTTGCCTGACTCTCTGCCTACTTGTGATCTCTGTCTGTCAAATAAATAAGTAAAATCTTTAAAAAAAAAAAAAACTGTTGAAAGAAATGTCGGTTTGGAAGCTAACAATATGATGACTGGGTATAAATCAAAAGACCTTGATGATCAATTTAAAAGGCCATTTTGCTTGTTTGTTTTTTAGAGCTTTAGGTGGAATTTAATATATAAAGTATCCTACAAGAAATTATATAGATGAAGGGACGCCTGGGTGGCTCAGTTGGTTAAGCAGCTGCCTTCGGCTCAGGTCATGATCCCAGGGTCCTGGGATCGAGTCCCACATCGGGCTCCTTGCTCATCAGGGAGCCTGCTTCTCCCTCTGCCTCTGCCTGCCATTCTATCTGCCTGTGCTCGCTCTCTCTCCCTCTCTCTCTCTGACAAATAAATAAATAAAATCTTTTAAAAAAATTATATAGATGAAGCAAAATTACCTAAATTTCAAAAATAGTCACATTACTTGCCCCTTCATGTCTCTTTCTATAGGAAGTCAGAATCACAGGGAGTGTTTAAAATAAATGCAGTTTCCTGCCCTCTGGGCCCACCAGGTTTGGGGCTGAGAATCAGCCTGTTTTCCAGCTTCGCCAGTGGTCCTGCATTCCCCTCAAAGCTCTCACTCCGCTACTGTAGGATCTTAACAGAATAAGCAGCCCAAGGAATGAGCCACTCCCCAGGGCACACACCAGCCTGCCCTTGCCCCACTCTCCTGACGCCTCTCGGAGCTTTTAGCTGATAGGTTCCGAAGTGAAATGGGAAGAGGCCCTGAAAACCACCTCTGAACAGAGCTGGGTGGCCGGTTGTGCTGGCCTCCATCCCCTACCCCAAACAGATCCTCTGTCCTCGATCCCCAATCCTGGTGGCGGATAAGAGCCTTTACTCAAAATGCAAATTCCTGTGGGAAGGTTACAGCCCCATTAGCCATTTACATGTATGTGTGAATTAAAAGGAAGCCCGGGGACTCAAACTGACTCCCATTGAAGCTTACCAGCTCTTTGTGATTTAAGGCAAAGGAAGGTCTGTAAGTTTGGCCTAACTTGCCTTGAAGAAAACAGACTCCAAGGAAATGTGGAGTTATTAGTGTATTACTTTTTAGGGGCCCTATACATGGGAACTGGGTGCTTGGAAACAGGGAAATAACCAGAGCAAACTGCTTATTTCAGAATTGTTCTGAGATATTTTCT